CAAAATACTCCTGAGGAAGCGTTGGCTTTTATCCTAGACAATTCTCTAACAAAAAATACATACATAAATATGCGCTTGGAATCAAAATCTTCAGGAGCAGACATCTGGCCATCTTATGATGTTGTAAGAAATGTTAAAGCATTGTGTAGACCAGAAAAAGAAGCAATATCAATAAATGAAAATGTAGCAGAAGTAAAGCTTCAAAATCTTCTGAACCATATTGCTAAAAGAATTTTAGAAATGCAAGTTAAAGTCGTGGTTCATACTGCGCGACAATATAATTGCACAGAAATCGAAGCTGTGCTAACTTGCAGTTGGGGTTTTGATGGTAGTAGCGGTCATTCCGCTTATCAACAAAAATATAAAGAGGCAGCAAACATAAGCGATGAAAACTTATTTGTAACCACTCTAATTCCTCTCCGATCATATCAACTTCAACGGGGGTTATTTTATGGAATAATCGAACTCTTCAATCTCGAATAGATTTTGTCGCCCAGTGAAACTAGAACATGTAAAAGAAACAAAAGAAGTTATTCTGAAACAAAAAATGAATATGGAAAATCAAATTCAAAATTTGGAGATTTTCGAGGAGTTTGTAGAAGAATGTAATATCAAGATTCATTTTTCACTACTTTTAACATTGATAGATGGCAAAATTTTGAATATTATTACCGATACCAAATCTATGCAAACTTGCCCCATATGTCATGCAACTCCAAAAGATTTTAGCAATCTAGAAAATATAACTCGAGAATCCTTTGTGCCCAATCCAAACTCCCTGCAGTATGGAATCAGACCCTTACACGCTTGGATTCGATTTTTTGAATGTTGCTTACACATTTCTTATAGAATAACTTTTAAACAATGGCAAGTAAGGTCTGAAGAAAATAAAAAAAAATTTGCTGAAAGGAAAAAAGAAATACAGGCAATTATGTGGGAGAAGTTTGGACTTAAAGTCGACAAGCCTAAATCGGGGGGAAGTGGGACTAGCAACGATGGCAACACAGCTCGTCGAGCTTTTAATAATACTGATCTTTTTGCTGATTGCATAGGATTCAATCGGCAAATCCTTTCAAATTTTAAAACAATTTTAACCGCTTTATCCTGTCATCTCCCAATTAATGAACGGCGTTTTCAGAAATTATGTACTTCCACAGCTGAGCTTTATATTAATTGCTACCCTTGGTATCCTATGCCATCTACTGTACATAAAATTTTGATTCACGGAGCTCAAATAATATCTACTAGTATTTTACCAGTTGGAACACTTGGGGAAGAGGCATCAGAAGCTCGGAATAAGGATTATAAAAATTTCAGATTAGATCATGCTAGAAAACATAGTCGTCAAGCAAATTTGGAAGATGTTTTTCTTAGGGCGATGGACACCTCTGATGTTGTTATTTCAAGTATCCACCTCAACAAACGGGTTAAAAAACAAAATCATTTGCCATTCCCCCCTAATGTGGTTGAACTCTTTGAAATTCCTCAAAAAGTATCAAATATTACTGCTTCTACAAATGATAATAATGAAAGTGAAGACAATGGATTTTCTGAAGTTTTGTGCTTTTTAAATGAAACAATATTATCTGACAAAGAATAGTTACTGAGAGGCAAGGGGACGCACTCTAATAAAGCACCCCCAAAAAGTGAGAGGCAAGGGGACTCACTCTAATTAAGCACCCCGAAAAAGTGAGAGGCAAGGAGACTCACTCTAATTAAGCACCCCGAAAAAGTGAGAGGCAAGGGGACTCACTTTAATAAAGCACCCCAAAGGGGTCAGGAATCACACTGCAACTTCCACGTAGTAGGCCCTGGTAACTATAAAGCTAACTTTATAGGCTAATAACAGGTGTCAATATGTTTTTTAAAATTCGGGATCAGCGACCTCGAAAACCCTCGAGTGGAAATTTTTGTGCAAATCCCACTAATTTTCACAATTTCGGCCGCCATATTGGGTCCGCCATTTTAAATTTTTAATTTTTAATGTCTAATTCGGGATCAGCGACCTCGAAAACCCTCGAGGAGGGATTTTTGTGCAAATTCCACTAAATTTCGCAATTTCGGCCGCCATATTGGGTCCGCCATTTTGAATTTTGAATTTTTAATGTCAAATTCGGGATCAGCGACATCGAAAACACTCGAGTAAGATTTTTTATGCCAATCCGATCAATGTTTGACTTTTGGCCACTTTTTCCAGTCTCCTAGCCTACTGTGCGATGGGCATAAAATGGTCTATAACGACAGCGTTATGGTTGTCTGAAAATATTATGTCAAATTATGCTTCATATATTATTAATTTGATGGACATTATGCAAAATTTCTGCACCTTTATCATATTTGTGTGGAAAAAGAAAATCAAGCGGTTGTTACTGAAGCGATTCAGCTGCGATCTGTTTCCAAAAACTCGATGCGCAACATCGTCGAGCATTTCGACGTGCATTACCAGGAGAGATATACAGGAAAAGATGAATTCTTCTGAACAACGGAACTGTCACGCGAAAAATTTGTCGGATGGGACTGAACTCTAATGTTGCAATGTGTAAAAAAAAGTTTTATCGCAGATCAGGAATCAACGATTCATCAGCGATTAATTATAGTCTCATAATTTTCGAAGAATTAACTTTATAAAGACATTAATTTTTTTGTTTTGGTTTTCAATAGGTTTAACTCAAAATTTCATAAAAAATTAGTAAAAAATTTATCTTTTTTGGTCTCTCTTATTATTATTTAGTAATTTTTATTCTTTAAAATTTATTTACAAACTTTTTTTAATACTTACGATTTTAAAAGATATTATATAAAGATAGTAAATGTTTTAAATTTTTAACGTATTATCAGCCCTATTTCTAAAGTTATAATCAAGTTCTATTATTCGCTTTATAAGGTTGCCACGGAACTTGTATAAAATTATTATAATTATTGTGTTATATTACATAAATGTAAACTATTATTGTTGTATTAGAGACTGTAATAAAAAATTATAAATAAAGCATTTATTGTAATTTTAATGTGATTTTTTCAATTGTTTTCAATTTTTGCAATCGTAAAATTATTATAACGTAATTTTATTTTATTTTTGATCTTTGATTTCGTCTTCACAATGAATCTCCTGTCGGTACATATTATTACATTGGAATCAAATCACTCTGATTGTAATATCGTAAAAAATTTTAATCTTGTAAAAAACTGTACAAAATATTGTGCTGTATAGTGTTGATAAAGGAAAATCATTTCTGAGACAGATAAATAACATATAAAAAGAGAATAAAATACTGTCTTTCGAACCGGTATGGTCCAAATTGATTACGAATATATTCGTACGCGTCCATATTTTGAACTTATTCGTTGGTTAAAAATAATATTTCTTTTGATCAATTCATCTTCATGTAGCTATATTTTGTACATACATCAACGCTAGAAATGTTTCAATGTATAATATTATATACTTGGAAGCAAACTCTCGAATTTGTATTTAGATATTTCTGCATCATGAATTGCATCTAATATTTTGATATTAATAAATATTTGATATGTATGAAAAATTAATGTTTGGCTTTTTGAAAGAAGAGCGATCTGGGATCAACATAAATATCAATCTTTTTGCGTGCATGCAAACAATGCATGTTAACTTAACAAACTCTGGTTATTATGGGGTTATCTAGGGGCCTCCGGTGGCTCAATGCGTAGCGTGCCTGACTCACATCCCGGAGATTTCGGGTTCGATTCCCGACTCGATCCTGGCCTGCGCTTTCCCATTTTTCCTTTCCTATCACCTCCCAAAAATTCCTTCCTTCTCTCCTTCCCCAAGAGAATTTACTTAATCAGTATATATACATAACTGAAATTTATACTCTAATATAACCTGTTGTTGGCCCGAATATATTGATCTACCCCTGATCATATCGGCCATTTAAATATTAAGAAAGAAAAGAATGGGGTTATCTAATAAAAACAATCGATAATGTAAGCGAACATACTGCTCTCTAAATGAGGCGCTATATAACTATGAAAATAAGTAAACACAGAATATATGTTTTATTTACACGGGTTTGTTAAACAGATATTCCTACAATTAATAAGTATAAGTTTGACAAACACATGTAATATGACTTGCACATAAAATACTAAATAAACTAAAAATATATTTCATTTTCTTAATCAAAAGTCAAGATGTACATATATTTTTGCTAAATACATACATGAAAATTATAAAAATATACTGCATCTTCAATCAATTTAAATTTTTAGTATTAAGAAAATACTATACGAAATAATTCTTCTTTTCAATTTTTTCTGATACTATTTTTCGATAATGAGGTATAAGTTCCATTCGAATTTCATAAAAAAAAACAATGACAACAAGACGAATTTCAAGCAGTATAAATTGCGCAAAAATGTCACTATGAACAACAAAAATGCTCAGTATGTGTTCCATATTAATTTCAAAAATAACAATTGTGAAGATGACTCAATGCAGTATGAATTTTTTGCGCATTTCATAAAATATCCTGAGAAAGATAATCAGTGTGCATGTCTGAGTAAATATATGAATATTCAACTTAGAAAATAATTAAAAAGAAGCTATTTGAAATTGAGCGTCTCTAAAGGGAACGCTCGAAAATTGGCGCGTTAGGGCCGTGGCACATAGAAAAACTTAAGCAGTAAGACTTAAGACGTAAGCGAATTGACCAATCACGGTCGAACAGTAAGGCAGCCATATTGAAACGTAAGCTACGCTGAAAATTCCGTATGGTTGAAATTCTTAAGTCTTAAGCCTATCACACACAAATCGGCATAGCTGCATATGCATAGCATAAGACCGTCTGGACCATTTATAATCAAGTTCTATTATTCGCTTTATAAGGTTGCCACGGAACTTGTATAAAATTATTATAATTATTGTGTTATATTACATAAATGTAAACTATTATTGTTGTATTAGAGACTGTAATAAAAAATTATAAATAAAGCATTTATTGTAATTTTAATGTGATTTTTTCAATTGTTTTCAATTTTTGCAATCGTAAAATTATTATAACGTAATTTTATTTTATTTTCGTTATTTTAATTCCATCAACCATCATTTCTCATGCAATTCGATCGGCATGTATAAAAAAAGCGCGTGTTATCCACATAAGTAAAATCTATTTTTCTAATAAATCTCTCAAGGAGAAATGTTTTGAAATATAAATCATCATTGTATAACGGATTAATTAAAAATCGATTATGAGCCGCGATACGTGGTAAATCCAAAAGGACTCAACAACAAAGGAATGTGATAATGTTCATGATTTTGCACATCAAACACCACATCAATCAGCGGATATATCGAACTAGTCGCGTTTCGTCTGAAATAATCATTCACCCGAAATTCGATCTTGAATCTACCGGGCGTAGAATTTTCTCGCTCGTTCTGTAGCAGATCCGCGCAACGTCCGTTTGATTCTGTCGTGCTATGGAAAAAATAATAATCAATAACGCGATGAATAAGAAATAAAGTCAACAATTTAATTTAAGTAAATTGAAGCAATACGTAAAAAATATTTCCTTGATATTAAATGCCATGAAAGATTAATAATAATAATGTGAAAAAATAGAAGAAAGCACGATATGTAATAAGAAAAATATGTATATATACAGGGTGTCCCAGCTAACTTGACCATCTGGAATATCTTGCTTATTTTTAATGATAGAAAGAAATGTTTCAGACAAAAGTTGTTCGGTTCTAAGGGGGTCATAAGATGATGCCATTAGTTTGACCTTGAAGAGTCATATGAAAATCACGTAAAGGTCATTTTGAATTTCTTAAATGGAACACTCTATATATTTTTGCATATTCTGGTAGCTTACTTCGAGAGCTTTTCAAAACACTATAATTCGTGACCTTTATATGACTCTTCAAGGTCAAACTAATGGCACCATCTTATGATCCCCTTAGAACCGAACAACTTTTGTCTGAAACATTTTTTTCTATCATTAGAAATAAGCAAGATATTCAAGGTGGTCAAGTTAGCTGGGACACCCTGAATATACCCCCCCCCCCTCTCTCTTTCTCTTTCTTAGAAAAAAAAAACTTAAAAAAGTATTTACCAAAAATATAATGTGCATCGAATGAAGCACACAGAGCACATACCTCTCTTTTAGAAGAATCCATTTGCCATTTTCGAATTTGAAGAGACATACTGCCAAACCGTCAGCAGGCAGACCTCTACTAGTATCCAAAACGTGCGTAGTGATACTCAACTTTGCTTCATTCAGATTTACGGAAGTGATCATCTATTATATAAAGAGATATAAGAGAAATACATAAGTGCATAACTAGTTACAAGAAATTTGAAGTACACGGATATATTTAATATCTTTTCATTTAGCTCTAAAATTTTAAATTTTATATTTTATATATAATATTATATTTAAATAATCATTTTTGTAATAGTTTGAGAAAATTGATGAGAAAACTCGAGCACAGATTAAAATATATTTGTTCTGTTAAATATAATTTTAGATTTCGCATCGCGCATTTAATTGAGCTTACATTCTTTTTTTTCTATTACACTTCTTATTTTATGTAAAAACGAATGTTAAAAGACATCTAAAAAACGACTTATAAAAATGTTTTATATCATTTTTTAAACATCTTTAAGATATCTTTATTGTGTTGTCTGGAATTATAAAATTAAGCATCAATGAGAATACACACGCAACATTAAAAATCGTGCGTTTCAACCTCCAACAAAAAACAAATATGGCAAGTTTATTATTATTAAAAAAATTTAATTTGTTTTGATTTAATTTAATTATTATCTCAACTGATCAAATATTGTAGAAAGATTTTCATGTGTAACGCTGACGAATTAATATAATATCCGTTAAGATAAAAAACAAGCAATAAAAAAGCTGTACACGATTTTTAATATTGCGTATGTATCTCATTGATACTTATAATGTCATCTACTCTTTTGTATGGCACATAATAATTTATGGACAGTTATTAATGATGATACAAAAAGGGATCGAAATGTATATATCTGGATAATTAAAGAAATCTTTTGAGGATAACTGCCCGCTAATTTCCTATTAATTTTTACATTACTTACCTATTAAACTCTTCCTCTATTTGTGTTTGGTGTTTCTTATTTTATCTTCTATACAAATTTAGTTTTTCATACATTATATATATATATATACATTTTAACAATTGGAGAAAATACTACGATACTTACTCCACTGTCGTCAGGTCGAGTATTCATATTGCGAACACAGCTAATTCACTGCTCACTTCGATCTAATATGTAATTTCAAAGAACAGATTCGAATAAAGAGATATTAAAGGTCAAAGGTAAAGGAATATCAGCAGTATCGCACGTAGATAAATTTATATTTATTAATGTCAACTCTATTTCATATATTCACTACAGTTCAACAAGCCATTTTTTTCTTTTTTTTTAGAAAAATATAAATCGTGTGCATATATATTACATATGTGAGTGTAAATTATATATACTTACACAATTCTACTTAAAATAGTGATAGCAGTATACATCAATATTACATACGCTAAAAGGCATAGATATGCTGCTATCAAATATAGTAGTATAGTCAGAAAAAAAATCTTATGAAATAAGAAAATAGAAAAAAAGAAACTAGTGAAGGATAAAAAAAATAGTGAAAATAAGATGCTTATTTCTAGATGAGATGCTGAAAATAAGATATTTATGTTTCTATAGCTAATATACTTAAATATTTGACAATTTTAGGCTAGTTCTTTTCCTAATTTATTGTAATGTGCAAATTGTCGCCATAGAAATTTATCTTATAGTAAAAATATAATTCTAACTACATATACACTAACTTACATATGTTATGTACATATTATAGCAAAAATATCTCTTAACAAATATCCTATCTATCGCATTTTGCCGCTTTTATGAAAGTATGCAAAGTAATAATTAACAAAGAATATTTTTTCTCTTGTTACTATTAATATTATTAGTATAATTACTATACCATACTTTATTATACCTTATACGAAACATATTCTATTTAATGATAACTATCTCAATTGTCATATCTTATAATAAATATAAATAAAGTAACACATACTTTAACATACTTACATAACATATTTAACATACTTTATTTATATTTATCTTATATAATATTGTATATAAGATATAAAATGATTATGTATGACTATTTGTATCACGCTCGCATTGTGAAAATTTAATCATTTTTATATTAAATACATTAATATACATTTTTTTACGTTTATTATATATATATATAATATGTAAGCGTGATATCAATCGCGAAATCTTTCCTCGCAACTTGTCTACATCGCAAAGAAATATATTCGATAGAAAACCACACTTTAGGTGCCACGATAAGTCGAGTAACTAAACGGGCTCAACAAAAGTGGCATATGATAGTGACCGTTCGGATTTTTCACGTCGAATACGATCTCGACGAACGGAAACATGGTTTCTATTCTTCTCAGTGTGAAGTATTTATCGACATCGAAATGAATCTTATAACGGCCAATTGTGCAATTTACCTTTTCCACTAGATCGACACAGTAGCCTTCAGCATTTGTATTACTGAAAACAAAATTTCATTTTTATTTATTTGTAATTCCTGTCACAATTTCAACATTCCAATTTATTCTAATATTTTATATAAACATATTTTATATACGATTAGCCCATATTATTGAAATATTTAATTAGTATTTTAATAATAAAACATATTTGCTGTATTTGTTAACTAAAGATAAATTTTAATTAATCAATATTATCACCATAGCTTCGAAACATTGTGGTTTAAAAATACTCATTAAAAAAAAAGAGTTTTTAAATCCTGTTTTTAAAAAGAAAGAGAGAGAGTTTACTAGCTCTATCGAAAAAAGAATTTAAAAGAAAAATATTTTTTTATATTTAACTAATATCAGGATTATATGTTGAAGATTGAAAATAAACAGTAACATAACCAATTGAAGAATTACACACCTCTCATTCAAGAAAGTCCATTTTCCATCCATCAGTTTATATAAACTGACTTGCAAGCCGCCAATCGGAATTCCTTTCGTGTTGTCTATAACATAAGTGGAGATACGTAATTTCCTCGTTGTGGTAGATTTTATTGGTTGCTTCCCCAAATAAATCTAGAATAAACAAAAAATTTATTAAATAACAACTTTCAAGATATGCATCATGGAGAATGGAAAGCTCATTGCAAAGTAAACTTTAAAAATGCAAATAAATAATGGAACATTATTTTTCCAATTTGAGGTAAACTTATTTTTAACAAAATCTTAACTTAAGACTTTGGTTATTAAGATATTGATACTAAAATCTGGAAACCTTTTGACAGATGATGAAAATCATCATATTTACTAAAGAAAAGAAATTGATTCTATATGTATCGAAAAATAACATTGTATAAACACTTGTTTTTCTGCATTATTATATTATGTAAAAAACAAACTAAAAAATTAAGAGAGCTTCTTTCTTACTTTCTTAGATGATGATTGCCCTTTGATATTAGCAGCATTCGACTGTTGATTAATGCTGACAATTGGCTGCTGACTAGTACTAGGAGTAACCGGTGATGACTGGTTAGTGGCAGAAGTAGGCAGATTCGATATCTTGATCTTATCCGGCTCAGATACTGCAATGGTCTTTTTTGGATCAGCCATCATCAACGGCTTGCCCTTGAGCTTGGTCAACACATATTGTGTGCCCGGTTGGAACGTGCCGCCGGTTAATGTAAATGTTTTATTTCCACACATCAATGTAATGGTTTTGTTATTTTTCAAATTAGGCGCGATCGGCAAAAAATTAATCGTGTTCTGAGTCGGCGTTGATGAAATAATGTTTGTCTGATAAGTCGTGTCCAATACCGGCAATGAAGGCGTCACAATCAAATCAGGTTTATTATTCTCCTGCTGTCAAATAACATTTTTTCACTTTTGACTAACTATAATTTTTAATTAATTGTAATTTCACGAAATTCAACTAGAAAGATCTTCCACACAAGATTTCAATAACTACAGTATTCAGATTAATTTTTGCTAATTGCGTACATTTTTCTACTTATCGAAAATATGAAAATCATCACTTACGGGAACTTTTCCTGTCGATTTCTTATCGATTTTAATTTCTGTGTTTTCATTCTCGAGCATCTCCTTTAAACTTTCTTTGGTGTCATCCGCTGCATCAGATAGAACAGATACATCTGGATTAGCTGATTCTACTACCATTTCCATCTGCACATTCCCCTGATCCTCAACTTCCTCTTCAAGATATTCGCTATGAACATGGGCCATTGCCTCGGCCAATGTATCTCGACATTTTTGCTATATAATATAATAAAAATTCAATGTATGCAATTTAAGAACGCGACATAAATTCTTTGCTAAGCAAAATTATTGCCTTCTATTAAATCTATATAATTTGCAACATAACTTACATTGGATAATTTGACTTTCTTTATTACAGGCTTCATGTCCTCATCATCAGATTGCAATTGTGTATACAGATCACTAACTATTTCTTTCTCTCCTTCTTCTTCATCATCAATTATTTCTCCAGTTTCCTCTTTGACAACTTGCATGTCTGTTGCTTCTTCCTCATCTGTGTCTAATCTCTCAACAATATATTCAATATCCTCTTCATTTTCTTCATCTCCTTCTGTCCGAGGATCATCTACAGCCTAGAATTTAAAAAATTTATATATTATTATAAAATATAATTTAAATGATTTACGTTTATATGTTCTTATTTTTATAATTGACAATATTTTATTATCATTATTTACCAACTAGGAAATACTGGATAAATATCGAATGTTTATTTATCGCAACAAATATAATTAATCTTTATTAATTATTTGATAAATTATAGATTATAAAATAATATCTTAAAAATCAACATAGAGGGAAATTATAATGTCTCACAATCATTGCATAAACTTTTCATAACTGACATATTATACTTGTTTATATTTCTAATACTGTATACATTTATTATATTTACATGTATAGGATGTCCAATATTTGTCCTCTTTTTTTAATAGAATACATTCACCTACGAACATATTTGAATAAGCCATGCAAAAAAAATTCAAATTACACTGACTGTATTCCTGTTCGACAAAAATATCAGAATTGACATTTCCATAAATATTTTTAGGATAAAAAAAATGACTCATCAAAAACGGGACTTCCTGTACATGAAAATCGATGGAGAAACAATGCATAAGACCTCGACTTCCTCGATGAGGCCTACTTCGAGTGCATTCGCATCCCACTTCCGGGAACTCTTCTTTTCTTCCATCTTGTGCGCTAGAGCCGCACGCTGATGCTTCATCGTGCACGTATGCTTTAATAGCGACAGACGGTGCGCGTGCAAATTCTTCTTGCAATAGATGCAGTAGGCACGAGTCGGTTGATGCGGTACTGAAGTTAACCATCCTAAAACGAAAATATTTTGAAATCGCCGCCATTTTTCCATCGTCGTGGATGTGCATTGTACAACGTATATCTCAAAATTATCATTTCTGCTTGTATCTTTATATGATAATCTATAAGTGTGTATGTGTGTATAAATTATAAAAATTTATTATAATCATAATTATACACATATAATAAATTATATTATATATATTTTAATTATTATATTAAAATACTCTGTACAATTTATAAAGAGAGAAAATTAAATAAAAACGCTATTTCTTATTTCAAGACAATTAGAAACTTCAAAAATCTCTTTTTTTATCACTTTATCATTAATAAATTTCTCTATTAGACCAAATATGGCTGAATTAAACGTCATATTCGAAGAATTGAAGACTTGATAAATATCTGATAGTGAAAGCTCATCCTATAATATTATAATTTTAATTTAATTTAAATTTAAATTTAAATTTAATTGATGTATAACAAAGATCTTTTTAAATTTTATTTTTATTCGACGAACTCAATATTCAACTCTGAGTTTGATTTTCATTTTTATTATAAATTTCCAACAAAGTACTCTTGTTCAATTGGCAATGTGAGATGGGCAAATCATAGCCATTATATTACACTTCATTTTCTTTTTCCATTACGACAATCTTTCTCCTACATATTGTCAAAAATTCTCCTACATATTGTGCCTACATAAAAGCGACAGAATTAATCGTTAAACAATAAAGGATTTATAAAAGACAAAAATAATTCGTATATACAATTTTTTTTTTAGAATTTTACAGTTTATTATACCAAATATTATTTTAGCAATCTACGGTGTTCTTCCCGTTGACAATTTGCGGGAAAGTTTTCGTCGAAAATTCTTTGAATCGTACAACTGTACGCGCAATATCCAGTCATCTTCTCATAGGACAAACGAAAAAGTTAACGAATTCTGTAATAACGCCAAATATATTAGATCTTCGATCTTCAACTAGATTTCTTCTAAGACCAAGTATTATTTGAACATTTCTAGATGCAACTAGTTTCTACATATGTAAAAAGCGCAAAGTAAGTTCCAATGGGTGCATTCAGCAGACTCAACAGTTGGGTAGCAATCGAACGTGATTGGTTCTTGCTTTTAGAACCAACAAACCAACGTCGAGTATTGCACAAGACGATGCTCAATTGATTCCGCTGAATGCGCCCTATGAGAGCAAAATGGGATCCTACTAACGAGTGTACCAATGTATAATGTGTGTTAACACTAATCTGAATTAATTCCAAATCGTTCATCACCACGAATAAAACGTCAGTGGAAAGAAACGAAAAATCGAACAGGATTGCGTTCGAAAATTTATTCTTTGAAAGAGTAGCAGTTCGATTAATCAAACAAGACAAAGAAATTCTTCTTTTATTCTGATTAGTCAATCAAATGCTACTCTACTTCAAGAAATCAATTTTTGGAACGAAAAGCAAACAGAATCTTCTTCTTTATGTCTAATTAGGCTTCTATAAAAGAATTTTCCTATATGCCAGTTGGTGTTTTATAGATGTCTATAGATAGAGGATTTATAGATATATAGCGTTTTCGAATGAAGCAGGTTTGATCGACCCAAAGTTGATTAATGACGTCATTGCATCGTATCTGCCAATAAAAGACTTGAATTCATAATAAAATAGTGATTAATTGATCCGAGATGAATTAAAACCCGTCCATTCAAAAACGCTGATAGATTTGGTTTCTTTATAGAAGCATATATATAATGCTTTATAAACTTTGGTGTAATTGGAGAACACAATGCTGGTTATATCCAATGAAATTAACGGATTTATTCGGAAGCAAACGGGATCGACCCTAGAACGAGGAAGACTCGTCGCATCAGATGAACAAACACACATCACACACACACACACACACATACACACACACATGAGAGAGAGAGGGAGTGCGAGAAATACCTTTGAAATCCTGCATCTGCTCCCATTCCTTTCTGTAGCGCTGTGTGTACACCCGGGTCTTCGCGTGGCTGATCTTCCCCGTCGGCGTGAGACGCGGAGTCGTCGCGGTCAGCAGATTGCACACAACGGTCGTTGCCTGCTGGCCGCTGATAAGCGTCATCGGTCTCGGCGTTTCGCCGTCCATCGTTCGGGGCGCCGAATATTATTCGAATTCTCGTGGTGTATCGTATACTCGTGTATACAAAAACCCGGCGAGGATATATACCCAAAATCGCAGCGCGAAATTACTAAATAGTTTTTTCCCGCGGCTCGTCTCACCGAGTCGGGGGAGATATCGCGTTCTCTAGCCTCGCCTAGTGCCTCGATTCCTCCCTAGTTCAATGGCGAAGCTCGACCGTTACTGAATACTGAACTGCGTGTCACTCATGTCACTGCGCGGGAGAAACGGTGTTCTCGTCCCAAGTTCCAACGCGTGGTCAAGATGGCGACGCGTCGCAGGGCCGTAACTGTCTAGGGAAAGGAAAGGAGAGAGCCTGAAAGTCCTCAATTATTAGGTACGACTAGAAATTTAAAAATAGGGTTTTTTAAAAATAGGTAAGAAATTAAAAAAAAACGATATTTTTGGGTAAAAAACTGTTTTTTTAGTAATTTTGAAAGATAGTGCCAGTTTTCCTCAAACAAAAGATGGCATATATGGGAATTAAGTTGATTTTGTTTACTGGATCAGTATAATCAATTTCAATGGATGTGGCTGAGCTGATTACTATTTCGCATTTGTTTAATCAATTGAGTTCGAATATTTTAAAACAGGTTAATTTTGATTTTTATAATTCAATGATATTTTTTGATATTCTTTATTTTTAAAGTTTCATAAAAGGTAGAAGAAAACTCTCTCAAGCATAGTTAAATTGTTGTTATTTTGTGGACCAGAAGTGAGAATAACACAGGACATGGAATCTAATATCTAATTTTAGTAAATTTGATGCTCATTTTTCAAAACCATACATTAAAGATTAAAGATTAATAAATAAGCATCAAAATTAAATTTTGGCTATAAATTTTTGAAAATGGACATTCTGAATAATTAATGGAGTAAAAAACATTTTTGGGGAAGTAAAAAACAGTTTTTTACCCAAAGTTTCTGTTTTTTTACTACCCTTTTAATCTGTAATTATATATGTATTTCGATGCGCTTTTTGCAACTACGTTACTGACAGATGAAGCATAATAACTGTCTTATTGATATGCGCGCGCATTATCGTTAAAGAATGTGCGCAGAGTCCACGAAGAGAATATGGTACTTTTCTAGTTGATAAATTAGTGACGAGATATTTCCTATGTTTTATTATAGTGCTTTATAAGAGGCAAATTACTTTCTCGGGAGTGAATTTTACTCTACTCGAGTCACTTTCAGGAAACACGTCGCTACTGCCATCTACAAGTTCCTGATGAATACATCTCTCCGAGACAGAACTTTATATATAACGTTCCTCTAACATTCTCTATACTAGGAAAAATCACGAATCTGGAAAACTAATGCGCTCACTAGCTTATTAAAAGGCGATACTAGTGTCTGTCGTCGCGCGATTGTTTTAAACTTCTTTTCTTTTGAGAACTTAATAATAAATAACACAAAAGGCAATTGACATTTTATTTCGCACAACTGTTAGAAGTTTTCAAAAAAAAATTGTCCCATATCTCATTGCATATTGTCTTCATTATAAGATGATAAGATTATTTTGTTATAAAAAAATGATCATATATATTATATATAATATTATATTATACTCTCATTCAATTCACTTACACAATTAACATTTTCCTTCTTCAACCAATTTTTAATTATATAGAAATCCTAATTTTTAAATAAAAGATGACATGTACAATAATGCTATATTTCTCTCTCTCTCTCTCTCCCCTCCTCCCTCCCTCCGAAAAATATAGAATAAAAGTAATATATATTAAAACAATGTTTTTTTCAAATATATATAGAAAGCATTATTGTATCTGCCTCATTTCTAATTTAAATAAGGATTTATATTTATATAATTAAAAATTGATTGAAGAGTAGAAACATTTTAATTGTGTAAGAAAAGTGAACATATATATAAAAATATCTATTTTTATTATAGCCCTAACAATACACATATTTAAAAGATGTCCAGAGGACATGTGTGTTGTTATAGGTATATATATATATGTATATCCCTATAACACACACATGTCTTCTGGACATATATATATATATACTTTTTCAGTACTATTTTTTACACAAATTTCAGTTTTCTGTTAATATTTCTTTTATCAATATCTTATAAAATATTTTTAAAACAAAGTGATTTAGATGTGAAATCAGTATTTAATTTGCCGGTAATCCTTTTTGCTACGACAGTTTTTGAATTCTCATTCAAAGAGATGGACTATAATAAAGAAAAGAGAATAGAGACCAAGGGTACATTCGACACACACACGCACGTTTTATGGAACGCAGGAACCCCGCAGGTAGAGTGTATCATGAATTTATCCGCCTGCTCAGTTCAACGGAACTGGCTTTTAAAAAGGACCCAACAAACTTTTCAGGCCTTTCAGGTACGAAGAAACAGTCCTTGACCAGCAAACACAAGCAAAGCCTATACATAAGATCCAGACGAACTGACGAACGTTAAGAGAAAGTTCAGTTTAAATGCACACGCCGGACGCTGTACATGTCTGTACAAAGTACGAAAGTTCTAGGTATGTAACAATAATTGTATTTCAATAATTGACAATCTACATTTCAAATCATGCTAATTTCAAAATAACAAATTATCAGAATAAATAAATCTAATAATATCTATTTTTGCTTCCTCATAGAGGAAGCTTTGTTTTCGTGACAAAATTTTTTTTCGAATTTTTTATGCCAATGTGTTCAGAATGTTCTAAAAGGTCGAAAAAACATATTCTTAAAAAATGTCTGTATGTATGTATATATGTATGTACTTATGTACGCGATTTGTTGTACAACCGCTAACTTCCGCAATTTTTTAGATATCTAGTTAAATTTTTTTACATGGATAGATTATTATTAAAAGATGGTTGGTATTGAATTTGGTGAGAATCGGTCAAAGAGTTCATTTTTTATACATTTTGAATTTTTTAAGAAATGTCTGTACACGTTGTAACTTTCGCAAATTTTGAGATATCGGATTAAATTTTTTTACATGGATAGATTATTATTAAAAGATGGTTGGTATTGAATTTGGTGAGAATCGGTCAAAGAGTTCATTTTTTATACATTTTGAATTTTTTAAGAAATGTCTGTACACGTTGTAACTTTCGCAAATTTTGAAATATCGGGTTAAATTTTTTTACATGGACAGATTATTATTAAAGGATAGTTGGTATTGAATTCGGTGAAAATCGGTGAAAGGGTTCATTTTTTATAAAATTTTGAATTTTTTAAGAAATGTCTGTACACGTTGTAACTTTCGCAAATTTTGAAATATCGGGTTAAATTTTTTTACATGGATAGATTATTATTAAAGGATGGTTGGTATTGAATTTGGTGAGAAGCGGTGAAAAGATTCATTTTTTATAAAATTTTGAATTTTTTAAGAAATGTCTGTACACGTTGTAGCTTTCGCAAATTTTGAAATATCGGGTTAAATTTTTTTACATAAATATAGTATCATTAAAGGATGGTTGGTATTGAATTTAGTGAGGATCGGTGATTGCTTCTTTATCTTTTTATTTCGCTCACAAAGCTTCCTCTATGAGGAAGCAAAAATTGGAAAATCCGCATGCTTAAAGGAGCGTAAACTTTGTGAGATAAAATGATGAGGAAGCAATGTGCAAGTTTCTAATTTGCACAATTCAGCTTGTTTCCTTTTATAATCTGCTTTAATAATATATTCTTCTAATGTAATGTGTGAAGAGAAAAAAAAGCACCTTTTGAGACATAAAATATATATTTTTAGATTAATTTAATTATTATAAGTCTTTAAAAAAGGCTTGTATAATAAATAAATGATAGAAAGATTTTAAAATATTTATTTTATAGATTTTATATAGAATTTATTTTATAAACCTAATATTTTTTTTATCCATCTGTTTTACTTGATATATTATTGTAAAGTAATATCTTTTTATAAATTTAAAGGCTCACTTTAGATGATTTATAATTCGCGATAAAATACAAGATAGAATTATCCTTATAATTTTATGCGTGTCATAATTTAATGTATATATGTATATCTGACATATATTTTGATTTGTATGTATTTTACATATTCAAATGTCGTAAAATTTATAAATAAAATTCTGCCTTGAATTTTATTGCAAAATTATAAATCATTAAAATGAGCTTTAGATAAAATGATATTCTTGACGCAATTTTATATTTTTAAAGTTAACTATTTTATTTGCTACATTCTTATAATAATATTTTTGTATATATTAAAGCCCATCTTAGACAATCTATAATTCATGATAAAATTCAAGACAAAATTCTCTTTATAATTTTATGCATTACATATGTTTAATGTGTATTTGTGTAGTCTGATATATATTTTTGTATGTTTTATTATGTGTTCAAATGTTTTTTGTTACACGACAAAATTTATAATATAAAATTTATAAATAAAATTCTACCTTGAATTTTGTTGCAAATTATGAATCGTTTAAAATGTGCTTATAGACAAAACTGATAGGGTTGACGCAATTTTACGCATTTTTAAAGTTAACTGTTTCACTTGATATATTCTTGTAATAATATCTTTTTATATATTTAAGCCCACCTTAGACAATCTATAATTCATGATAAAATTCAAGACAAAATTCTCTTTATAATTTTATGCATTACATGTTTAATATGTATACGTGTAGTCTGATATATGTTTTGATTTGTATGTTTTTTATATGTTCAAATTTTGTGTATTATTAAACAAAATTTATAAATAGAATTCTGCCTTGAATTTTGTTGCAAATTATAAATCATTAAAGTGGGCTTTAGATAAAACGAATATTCTGGACGCAATTTTACATTTTTAAAGTTAACTGTTTTAATTGATACATTCTTGTAATAATATTTTTTTATATATTAAAGCCTACCTTAGATGATTTATAATTTGTGATAAAATTCAAGACAAAATTCTCTTTATAATTTCATGCATTACATATTTAATGTGTATATATGTAGTCTGATATATGTATATTTTGACTTGTAGGTCCTTTTTACGCATACACGACATAAAATTTATAAATAGAAAAATTCTGCTTTGAATGTTGTTGCAAATTATAGATCGTTTAAAGTGTGCTTTAGACAAAACAAATATGCTTGACGCAATTTTACATATTTTTAATGTTAATTGTTTCATTTGATATATTCTTAAATGGAAAAATTGGCAGATAAAAGCCCAGGCGCGGATATCGATGGACAAACTTATTATTGTTAAATTCAATTATGTGCACAATGTGCATTTAAAAATGTACGTTTCGGGCCGTTTATTTGATCCATCTTCAGCATAGGTACAAATATATAGAGATTAAATTGGAATTTTAAAACCCGACATGCACATTTGCAGTTGCAGTCAAATCTCAAACTAAAATCAACAATCGGAAAAGAAATTCATTAAGACTCGCGTGGAATTTGTACAATTAAGTGGACAGCGTCTAATCGCCATCGCCCACGTATATCATCGATGGATTCATATAATGAATGAATGAATGTTTTGTTTAATAAGTGATAATTTTCAATCATTAGTCTCTACATCTATGTATCAGTGTCGTTTAATGTGAGATTAATATTATTATTTTAAATTTATTATTTTTATTTACATGCAATTTAATGAGTAAATCATGTCTGTATTATTTTTGCAGAAATATTGCTCGATATACTCTAATTTCTATAGAATCCAAGAGACTCATTTGTTGATCTATTATATCAACAATATGAATACAATAAAACCGATACTATACAGAGTCGAGACATATATCGTGCCCGAAGTGAACAAGGAGCAAGAATTCTCGCTACAAGATGCAATCAATGAGATCGATGATCTCAAAATCGTGAATCAATTAAATGTTCGAGAAGATGAAGACGTGTCGAAGAATAATATTCTAAGAAGAAAAAATACATCGCCCGCTTTCGATAATAAATGCATGGAATCCAAAAGATACTCTGTAGATACCAATCAATTAATTAAAAAAAAATTGATAAAGGACATCACGAATAAGAATGAGTCTCTATCTAACAAGCAATTCGATAACAATAACATTAAATATAATGACAAGGATTCTGATGAGCATCTATATATACAAAAAGAGTTTCAATCGTCTATCGAATCACAGGATGCATTCTATCCTGTAAGACAATTTAAGAAGTTCAACAGTTTGGTGTCGATCGACGAGAGAAGCGAAAATTTCTTGGAGTCCAAAGTAACCAATTTTTGTCATCACGGTTTCAAGAATGATTGCACCGCGACAATTCCATCGGCTGAGCAGGTTAGCGATGAAATTTTCAAGAAGAATTGGTTGCACAAGATGGAGATCTTGCAACAACGCGATGCCGCCCTGAGGGAGAAGGAGATGGATCTGCAGAAAAAAGAGAGGGAATTGTTCAGGAGAGAAAAAGAACTCAGAATCGCAGAAAGAGCTCTCAATGATAAATTAAAGCTAGTAGATCAGCAGTTAAAATACCAAAAAGATATGCAACTCGTGGAGAGGAGACTGGGGGAAGCAGCACAAATTTTATCCCACGAAGTCGAAGAACCCGACATTAAAACAGAAAAGTTGAGAGATTGTCAATCTCTGGAGAGAACTTCAACACCTCAACGATCGACTTTGGCACCTGAAAAAATCATTAATTCATGTGAGAAAAATGAAGAATCCGATAAAAAAATAAAATATCCAATACATCCAAAGAATTACCCATCGAAGCAATCCTCTTCGTCGAACACAATCTTCGGGACTCGGTCATACGCTAGTTTAAAGTACAAAGAACAGCCCCCTGGCAATAAAATACGCTATGATGATCTAAACTCGACGTTGTCAGCGGACAATGGAGATTCGACTTTCGTGCAGACATCGGAGCGATTTAATCCACTGCTTCATAAGAAGCCGTACGCGTTCACGAGATCCGCGAGCGAACGGCGGACCAGGAAGACGAGCAACGCGGTTGTTACGAGACCGTTAGAAGTAGTTAACGTCGAGGAGAAATCTGAGCCTATTATCGAGGAAGATAAGGTTTTCCGAAAACTCAGCGAGAATATATGCGCCTCGCAGGACAAGAACACCAGATTCCAAAATTACGGACTTGTGGATTGTAAGTTGGACGACATTCAGCAAAGCAACGCGAAGCATAATCCTGGCAATGAAAAGAAGTTGTTTTCGTACCTCGATCTGGCAACCGGTAACAAATACAACCGTCAGAAGCGTTCCAAGGATAGGCCGATCTCTTGGAACGAGGAGATAGACGAATGGCTACAAAAGAAACGTCAGGCGTATAACTTAGCGATTAAAAACTCGGCTGAGAGTAAGGAAAACCTCAAGTGCAATATCGTCGCAGAAAAAGACGGAAAGAATTCAAAGAGAGATGTTAAGAACAAATTATTCACTATATTTCGGTAGCACGCTTACTATCATTAATATAGTAGCGCATAAAATAAGGGTTCCTCTAATCCAAAACTAACCAGTCAAGAACTCTAGTTTTCTGTTATTTATTTTAAAATCAACAAAGATCTCTAGAAATTTGTAATATAGTATCTTAATTTAATATTTATAATGTAATTAAATCTGTATATAGTTAGTCATAAGTTTGACATACATATCGAATTTCTGTAAAAGTAATTCTGTATTTGCAATCAATTTACTACGCAGTCGCATGCATGATAATCGTCAAGCATCAGCTATAGTAATACTTTTCATATTTTTATCAAATAGTATCTATACACCGTTACCAATAAAGAAAGAAAAATTAAATACACATATTAGTAACCATATATTGTGTCATGATTTAAATAGTGTATTAGCGAAATACATTTGTCATCTTATGACTCTTATGTGATTCTCATTAATAGAGTATATTTATTTGGTAGCTTACACATAAAACACTAATTGATTCTGCGATTTCTTAAGATTTGATGATGCATAATAGACATGAAATTAATATGGCCAAGAGGGTGGCTCCCCAGGCTTCAATTCTCTGCCGTACAACGCTGATTTGTCCCTGAACATCGTCATACGCTCCGTATCCAGATGGTCTATTTTCTTCCCGATCAGGAAGCCCGTGATAGGGAAGATGAGCGTCCAATAATACTTCCACATGTTTTACGACGGATTTATATTGCCGCAGTCTTAGTCACCTGCTGCTCAGCAAGTTGACGCTTCCAGCGAGCCGTTCGTCTCAAATCCGCGGAAACCGTGACAACCGTGAATGTGGGGAATATCACGCTAATCAAGTTGCGCCTGATCAAAGTTCCGATAGTTTTGAAACTGGAAGTACCCATCAAACTGAAAAAAATCACAAAATTAGAGAACGAAATCTGACCTGCCTGAATTAATCTCGCGTCAAATTAATTAAAGGATAGATCGAGCTGGCAAGGTAGCATGACAAACAATCGCTGTCAAACTATTTATTGGGGACAATTTTTTTTTATTTTGAGGAAATGAAAATAACATAATAGGCTAAAGCTAAGAAGCGACCTTAACAACACACATGTCCAAAAGACATCCAGAGGACCTCCTCTAGATGTTTAATATCCTCTGGATGTTTATCAAGGATGTTTAATATCCTCTGGATGTCCTCTGGACGTCTTCTGGATGTGTTGTTAGGAGAATGAGATGCAGAAAAGACGAGTTTCTTACATCCTACGAGATCTGCATCGGTTGATTAATTTTCTGCGCTAGAAGGTTAGAATTATTTCAATTGTTATGTAATCGTGATCGATGAAAGGGGCTCGAGGCTCGAGACGAATCGCGCCGCCAATCGTCGCTCCTCCTGTCATTCCTTCGCGAGAAACATCGACTCCGAATTTCCGTAAAATCCCGAGTGGAATAAACCCGACGTAGAGAAACGTTTCGATCTCGTGCTCGGTTTTCGAAGGGGAGAAGGAAAACACGCGCGGCCCACAATATCGGAATTCGTCAAAAAAACCATCCGCTCCCGAGAGGTTAAGAGACAAGGGCAACTATAATGCGTGGATAAAACGAACATACTTACAATCCTAAACTAAGATCTAGAATTCACCCCGCCTTCTATCTCGCATGTATCCGTTTGTATAATCCTGATCCCGGTGAGTGGATACCAATAGATATCCGTTCCTTCTGACTCCTTTAGGCTAATGTTATCCTGTAATCGAAATAAAATGTACGTATGTGTGTCCTGTACATATGTATAAGAATTAAGATTCGGAAAAAAGATATTGCAAGAACGATTAGAAATATCTATAAGTATAAATTAAATCCCGAAAATGTGTGCGATTTACGTTATTGACAGCTGTTGACAGTAGATCTTTTTACCTCTTCAGTTTTATCGGCGAAGTAAAGGCCTGTTCACGTGGCCGCTTGACAGCGAACAACGACTGGTACTAAGGGCGGTTTCCAATGGGACGATAGATAAATCCTTCTGTCATCTTCCTTCCCCGGTGTTTCACGTTTCACCATCGCTCATGATCACTCGTCAGATTCGGCGAAGGTTCAAACAACATTCTAGGGACACTGACGTGATGCTTCTTCGATTACTCTTGTAATTAAAATAGGAATATCCTATCAGCCATCCTCTATTATTCTGTGCTTGGTTCGACAGAAAGCAGAAGATTTTCGGGAAAAATATAGGTGGGCTAAGAAGAAAAAGATTTATCGTCCCTGATATTAAGTGTTGTGTATCCTAAGCGATGAAAACTGGCAAGTTTTAATATCAGGAAAAATCCCCTCTTTTAAAGAAGAAAGTTAATGCGATCTATGTTCTTTTTATAGGGAAGAAAAGATTTAGGAATTTATCGAATATGCCTCCAATGTCGAAAGACACCGAGGTCCTATGGTCGGATATAACCGGGCGCATATTGATCAACGCGATTACTCATCCTATCGAGTATGCAAAGGTTTTGATACAGGTAATATCTTTATTATCAATAAAATTTCCTCAAGCGCAAATAAATTGGCATAGTTTTATCGAGGCAAAGTATCATCTCATTCAAGGACTGTAAATTTATCTTATAATATTACAGATTGGATATGAACCTATTCCACCGAAACCAACTGTAACATTATTTGGAAGGCCAGCGCTAAAATTACCCAATGCCTTTACGTACAGTAAGTCTGACTTTAATTAAAAATTCAAGAGATAATTTATTTCTGAATTGAAAAAAAATTCTTTTTATATTAAATTACATAAATATATTAATTCACAGAATTCTTTATAATTCTTTATAAACTGGACAAAATTATTTCAGTTTTATTTTGTTTTATATATTACATTATTATATAATGCTCATGTATTTTGTGTATTACATCATTGTTTACAGTTAAACATATAAAGAGCATAGATGGCCTCACAGGCTGCTACAGAGGTCTGGTGCCAAAAGTATGTTCTTATACAGTTAGCACAATAGCGTGTGATAAAACTTTAGAGTATCTACAACTGAATTCGGTACAGAATGAAGATGAAGACGACGAAAATGAAATCGTAAGGTATGTGTGTGTTGAGAGGAAAGAGAAAAATAAGCGGCAATATAATTTCTCACATTTACAGACGCAAGAAATGTATACGTGAGATAATAAGAGATGTAATCAGTAGAACTGTCGCGATTGTAGTCAGTCATCCTCTGGAAGTCATTTCATTAAGGATGATGGCTCAATTTGTGGGTGGAGAGACAAAGTATAGGTATTGTGTATTGTGATTATATTTAATATAAATCTTTTTAGAATGTTAAAATAAAATATCTCAGAAAATTTTTGAATAATTTAATGCTGTAAAAGCATTTATCACTTATAGAATAAAGAAGTAAGTGAAGGTTATATATTACTAATTACATTCCCTTTTACTGATCTTAAGGAAAACTGACAATTTTAAACTAAGTTTTCTGAAAAATATATTAAATTTCCATTCTGCTCCGAATCCTTTGTTATGACAAAATTTACTTATTATTATATGTTTTCACAAATAGTAGTCTATTTGGCTCGTTCCTGGAGATCTACAGAGAAAATGGAATCCTGGGATATTATGCAGGATTGATACCACGTGTTATAGGAAGTGCCGCAGCTATAATTCTAGCTGGTGTCTCCACATATGCCATAAATAATTATGTCATACAGGAACCAACAATGAAGCCGTACACTGCATCAACCATGACAGTAAGTGGATCAGGAAAAGCCTCAATGCATATTTATACGATATATTTTGGAACTATCACTAATGCGTGTCTCTCTCAAATGAAATATCTTTAGTTCTTGGCTACTACTGTGATGTATCCATTCCTGGTGGTGTCGCACTGTATGGCAGTAAACAACTGCGGGTAAGTAAAGTCTGTAAATTGTGTTTTATTACATCTCTATATATAAAAAAAAAATAAATGAATATAATTATTTGAAATAATTCATTTATTATATGTATAGAGATGTATTTGAAAATAAGTAATACCTATATACCTATATTATAGAAGTAATACTTATTGTCATATCTTGTACTGTCATATTTTATAATTAAAAGTAACACAAAATTGATTTAAATGTCAAGATATTTCGGAATTAAGGATATCTCTAATATTTCACGGGAATAATGCATCAGATTAAATTAACATATCTACGAAAATTTGTTCAAGGTTGGTGGCCGGTCTACCACCACACATGCCAATCTACAAGAACTGGCTGCATTGCTGGCATCATTTATCAGTCCACAACCAACTGAAGAGGGGCAGCAGTTTGTTATGGCGTTATTATACTGGACCACAAATGCTTTTGAACGGCAAAGTGATGCCGATTCTAGGCGACAATTTTTACCAGCCCAGTCCTTAATGAGTCTCATCAAGTAAGCCCAGATGAGTCTATTATGAACCAAATGAGCCTGTTATAAGCCAAATGAATGTCGACTGATATATCATGTCCCCATTTGACATTTTACTTGTACAGTATATACTTTATAGCGCCATATAGAAAAAGAAAAAAAAGAGAGAAAGTTTGCTGGCAACGAATTTCTATACCGAAATCATACAAAAATTCCATGCAATAAATGTTCTTATAATACCAGATCGTCATCAAAATATAAAAAATAGTTTTTCAGTAAAATATTGGAACCTAATGGATATTAGAAATACTCCATTAATTTAAAAGATAAATCAATCTTTATAAATTTGTTAAATTATATTAATCGATTTCTGTGATAGCACTTTTCAGTATTATTCCTTAAATTATAATAAAAAAAGAAGGTATACCAATTATGATCAATTGAGATAATTGCAATAAAACACACATTGCTAAAATACATATATCTTTCGCAATTATTCAATCTGCACGTTTTGTTTGCGCCTTCGCGAATTGTGAAAGCTGGGTATTTTCATGATCGCTGAATATCTACCCAAAATAATTTCGATATATATATATGTATGTATATGTATGTATGTATATATCATTGAAATATTCTTTTAACAAGGAAATCTACATGGAAAATTTATAATAACTGTAAAGTTGATGGACGTCATATTTTAATCATTTTATGATGACTATTAATCTGATTTTTGGAGCAATGGTGTCACATTAATTCCATTATTACAATCGCTTTCATTGATCTTTGATATTTTGATCAAATCTCTTTGCGCATATAGATAAGGATAAATCAATTTGAAACAAAAATACTCTTTAATTACATAATAAAAAAAGATGCTGAAAAAAACAAGCTGTATTTGTGCTATGTTGACAATTAGACTTTATTGTTTCGACAATTAATCGACTTACAGTACGATCCGCGTTGGTAATCGATAAGATTTCAATGAGCATTGCATTCGCCGGATTACAAACGTCTTCCTATACATACTATGTCCTACAAAGAAAGAAGGGAGAAGAGTAACGCGCGAGGGCTTATAAATTCTCGCATCTCCCGTCATTAACACATGTATAAAAAAAATATCTCGCTAATAGTCTTAAGGATGTTTGTACACAATTGTTCTTTCTCAGGCATTTACATTTAAACTATAGCTTGCCTGCGCGAGAGTGGCCAGCTGAATGTGAATAATGAACAGAGAATATATACAGCGCATATCTCATGAAACTCTGTCAATCATGTATCAATATTTGAAATTTGACAAATAATCATCTGCCAATATTATCTTCATTAAAGTTCTCAACATTATACATCTTTATTAAAGTTTTGAAAAGATTCACCTTCCAATTATGATGAAATAAATATATGCGATTTTCTTTATACACGTACACATACAAACGAAATTTAGTTAAGATTAGCTTTACGCTGCAGTTTCGTGCCAAGACGAAGTCAAATCCAAAATTGGCGAAAAAGAGCTGTTGTTAGAAAACGAAGAATAGTTTTGGGACACACTTTATTCATAATTAACACGCGTTTTTTTTTAAATTATTTTTCTGTTTAAATCTACTGAAGCGAGGACTTTTTCCAAAGTACTTTAGGCCGGTATTCATAGTCCGTTCTTATATTCAAGATCGTCTTAAGTGTGGTCTTGGGTCATTTTGAGATTCCATTCAACCAATGAAATGGCTGCAAAGCATCTTAAGACTATACTTGAGATGATCTTAAATATGAGAACGGACTATAAATACTGGGCTTAGACTTGAATAAAATATATTACAATGTTCGTACTCTCTTGATCTAATAATGAAGCAATTATATTCTCACGTCTCCATTAAATTACTTTATTGTATTTATATATTTATGGAATTTTTCGTTTCACCGGATAAATGCAGTAACGATTGGTCATTGCTTCGATACAGAGAATCGCCCCTCTTAAAAACTAAATTACATTTTAACCACGCGAAACAGAATAATAGTTGCATATAACAGGGACTATCACGTCAATCCGAAATATACTAACATCAGAGTTATCAAATTTATGTATACAATTCTACTAGGTAAAATGTATTTTCACGAATTGTCGGGCTTTTACAATGAAATTTGTAACTACGCTAGGCATTGGAACAGCTACTAATGTGTAATCAATTAATGTACAAGAGGATCCTCCATACGCTCTTATATAAAGTCTCTTATTTGATATATTTTGTTTTAAAATTTCTTTCTGTTGGCTATATTGAGTTTGATATTTTTTTCTTTTCAAGCAGATTATGCAAACGCGTTGCAACACCAATCAACGCTCTACATCTATTCCATTTAACATTCTTTCGCTATTTCTGTATTAATCATCGTAATGGTATTTTATCTTGGCAAAATTGCATTATGCACACACACAGCCGATATAAAACCCGGCTCAAAAAATTAATTAATGCCCAACGCAAGAAACAGAAATCATATATATTTGGCTATCGTACAATATTTTGTTATTGAAGAATATCCAGTTGAACTATTAAGGAAAAGGAAAGAAAGAAAAGAGGCCATCGTTGTTAAAATATTGTTCCGAATTAGAAATAAACGAGGAGGAATTCTTACGGTAGAGGATTTTAATTCTATCAATCTCGTTCTCGCGTAACACGATAAAAATCAACATTCAATATTTAATCAACCAACATTGCTTCTCTCCTACACTATTATTATTAGATATTAACAATCGCGGCGCGCGAATTGTTTGTCGAGTCCGCATTAATGCATGAGGATAATTTTTTTAGGCTCTGTAAGCTATATACATTGAGGAATATTGCGCGTGTTTCGGGAATGTTGGCGAAATCGGAAGCAAGGAATACACATTCGAAGCGCGATGCTTCTTCACAGTCAAATAGTACAAAGCAATCTCGATGCAACACAAAAGGAAACTGTTCAATATTCACATTCTACGACGAAGAGGCTTGAACTCAACAGGCTACATCCGAAGAGCTTTTTTCACTTCTTAATATAGAAAGAAGTCTATTTTTTCCACCTTTTTCTCCTTTAAATATTATGCATATGTACAAAAGTATATTTCTTACAATGTACGAATTATATTAAAAAAAAAAAAAAAAAAAAAAAAAAATGAGGGGCTTTAATTTGGAATATTACGCAATGAGGGAGAAAGAGAACAACTTAAAGTAAAAAACAAAGTAACACATTGATATTACCAAGGCAGCATAATACTTAATGTAATCGATAGTAGAGTAGTTTTTTTTAGGACAGGCAAATATAATTAGCTTGTGTGGCGAACGCATAAATAATCGGTATATCGTGCGACATTTCCCCGAGAAAGTATGCTAAGGTAAATTCATTTATCAATTTTTACAGTTGCTCGGAAGATAAATCATCGTCGACAAACCGGTAAATGTTCCTCTCTTAGATTCAATCTCGACAGAGAAACGTGCAGAAAAACTTGGTAATTCTTAACCAGAAATTTTAGTGACGTTGTATCCAGAAACAAATCCATTCCCTTTTACATCTCTACATTACAAAATTCAGTTATAGAGTTATATAGAGTTTAACGAGATTTATATTAATTATATTTATTTGTATCTATATCTAATAAAACTCAATTCTTTACAATAGTTATGTAAAAAAAATTAATTTGTCTCTAGATACATCTGTGTTTTATATACAACACAATTCCTCTCTACACTCTAAACTCTTCATAGCGATCCAAAATATTGTAGCAGTGTTATTTCGGCTCCGCGAACATCTTTATTATATACGCGTTCTTTTCTTTTCATGGGAATGAAAAAAACTATCAATAACTGCAAATAAAATTGTGTCATAAATATAGACGTGTGATAATATATGCAATGAGTAATGCAATATTCAGCTATTTATGAATAATCGTAAATTAGGCCACGATAAATGTAACGACAATATTTTGTTCATTTTAAATTTGGTAATTAAAATGTTATATAAATTCCATTCCGCTTAAAATTGAAACATTTAACTCTCTACTCTCGTTGAATCTTTGTAAGTTGGAATGCAATTAATTATATAAACATTTTAGAGCCTTCAAAAATTGAAATGTATGTAATTGATTCTTACAACTTTACAACTTTTTAAATTGAAATGCATTTTTTTAAGGATAACAGATATATATCAAAGATTATATATAGTGTAATTAGTATTTAAGATTACGTTCTAAAAACAGTATACATCATATTAATGTTTCTCCCATTTCTAATTTTTCTTAATACTTCAATTGACACGCTTTCTAAAACGAAATCTCTTAAGATTTAACACGATGGCTCATATTTGTCATTGTTATTCTTTTTATCGCATATGCGCGGTTTGTTGTATGTAGGGTATAAGATATACATACATAGAATATGCCAGAAGTCGCGCATTGTTTTTTTGAGAAATCTTTAAAGTCAAGTATATAAAAGTTTTATCTTCGACAAAAATACATGCAAATTCTTTATTTTTAATGCCAAATTCCCTCGATATTCTTGCTATAAGAAACATAAGCTAATAATGATTTTACTTTTCAGGAGAGGCAAAAGATTCAAGAGAATACTCCCTATAAATCAGAATGTTATGAAATACTAGTTACACTTGTATTGACAGTGTGATATCCTATGTATAAGTGAAAAGGAAAAGAGATCTCTACGCTACGAAAACAAGCTGAACAAGTTAAAATATATTTTTTACCAGGCATCAAAAGAAATCGAAATTGACATAATATTGTTATTTCTTCTTAAAGTTCGATTTATCAGAGGACGATACTTTAACATTTTGTAAAACAGACGCCCCCCCGTCTCGTGACATTATTTTCTTACCTAGAAACGCGCGACTTCCAGGACACCCTATCTCGATTCGATAGTAATTTTCCGCACACAATTCAATATTTCGACTTACTCTACTTCAAGTCTAGCTCCACTTCCGGGCTCTCCAAGGAAAACGGCTTGAGATTCTCGACGATGGGAGTCTGATCCGGGTCAACGCGGATGCGGATCTTATTAGTGTCCAGGGAGCGTGGTAGCGTGCGCGGCAGGTCGTCCTTGTAAGAGACCGCCGCTGATACGGGCGACGTGTACGGCACGTAGATGCGCACCACGTCCGGGCTGGGCTGATGCGGCGTCGCACGCGGCGTCGGTAGACCACCGCTGCCCGAGCTGGCGTTCGAGATATTGCTCTGGGTATCCAGGCTGTTGTCCAGCGCCTGGGAACGCGTAGCCGAACTGAACACCGACAGGTCGGCCGTCGATGTCACCGACGTCTCAGCCAACGATCGGCGGGAGCCGTTAGGAGACGTGCCGTCGTCGAGGCTCGGGTCAAAGGAAAACTTGCTTCCTACAAACACAGATTCTTCACATTAGAGGCGCGAGGTTGAAACTACAAGATACAGTTTTCATGCACCGAGTATTTTTTTGGAGATTATTACTGAAAGGGCTTTATATATTTTCGGTTATTAATACACGAATAGAGATATAAATTTTTTAAATGATTCAAATCAAGATTACATATTTTATTTTTTTCTTTGTGAACGCATATATGATGCAAAGCACATTGATGAAAGTTTTATTAGCAAGGATTGCATGGTAGAATAATGATTGTGCATAATAGATCTCTTATTTATTTACATAATGTCAGAGGAACAACAAGCTTAATAATAGAACTGCGTAAGACGAATCATCTTAATTTTGTCTTAATATACAAAGATCGTTTCAACAAAGCAGGATCTTTTCTAATTTACATGCATGGATAAAGTGTTGTGTTAAATCATGTAAGACTCGGCTTGGTTAATTTACATATGTTTATTAAACATATACGAAACGAGAAAAAATGATCATAAGAGATTCATTGATAAATATTTTGGATGAATCGCATCTCGTGAAGTGCATTTGAGACACATCATGGATCGATATTCCGATTAATTATCGCATGATCCAAAGCATAATAGCGCAAATTAATACCATGTGTACCACAAATAATACATGCGTAATATATACTTAATATAATATAAAAAAAATATTCTATTAATATATAGAAAGTATATTTATATATATACGTGTATATATATATATATATATATATATATATATATATATATATAAATCTGAAGAACATTTGCGTGTAACACCGTTAATAGTGCTTGGGCGCAGTTTCACCAGGTGCCGATCACGTTTTCGGGAAGCGTTGAAGTACGATCGTAGTTTCACAAGTCATAGTATTTCCGTACAGGCGCGGCGGCTCGCGAAATAATGAAGATCCTCTCTTGCGAAAGCGCGCCACGTCTCGTGCATGAATATCTTGCCGGTTCGCCGTCATTAAAAAAGGCTTACGCTACTTTCAGCTTAGAGACGACGAGGACAAGAGCTAACAAGGCCGGAACTTTGTACTGCGAATGCAAGTTCGGGAGAGAGAAACCCCCGTAATACGTTTTACGTTTCGGGGTATAAGACTCGCGCTGTTAAAGCCGAGTTCAAAACTTGTCGAGATGCTGGCGGGGGAGTCGAGAATGGTGTACACGTGATCGGGATATGCGACGGACACGTTCGCGTTTCAGCGACAGCTTGGCAGTCACCGCAGACAGTGCATACTTTCCGCAGCCTTAGCTAGCGGTGAATTAACCCTTGCACTCTCATTTCTCTGCGCTCGGTATCACGTTCTTTATCTTATTAACCCTGCGTCGTTCACACTTTCCTGGGAAAATAATAGCGAAATAGACCTCGAAGGTTAAATTTACTAAATCTATTACGTTTATCGTATTTTCTCCTCTTTTCCCTTAATTACTCTGACACGAAAAGAAATTAATACCACGTATTTTGATTCGATGAATTATAAATGATTAAATAACCTTAGAGGATATCATGTAAAAAATGATATACAATATCTTAAGCATTATATTAAAGATTAATAAAAATGATACGAATGATTAAAAAAAAAATCTAATTGATTAATTATTTATAACTTTCTGTTTCTCTTTTCCTCTCTTTTGAAAAAAAAAAATTC